AGCACACTTTGTCATTATAGGAAATTAAGCATAGCCAGGTTGGCAGCTCCGTAGTTATACCTTGCAAGTTGTAAAGTACTCACTTCCAGAACCAAATCTTGCCAGCAGTAGAACATCTGAAAATCTGAAGCAATACTAAGTTTTGTCCTGCAAAGTAATTACCTGTACATTAGCAAATTCTGTGAACAGCCTGAGGACAGATAACAAAAAACCTGATTTTCTGTAGGGCTGCAGACCTCCCAGTGACGTTACTGTGTATCTATCTGACAGCGTTGCTGGGGTAAACACAAAAGAAGCAAGCATAGCATACCCAGTGTTTCAGCTGACTAAATATTTAGAAAAAAAGGCTGCTATACTTTTTCAGAGAAATAATTACCCCAAATGGATGCATTACAGAAGAATGTAGTAGTTACCTTGCAAAAATACACATTTCTGCAAAGTGATTAGGTAGATGTGCAGCGTTAAGATACATTAGAGAGGCAACTAAAAATCTTGATCTACTGGATCAAGATACTTGGCAATGTCATTCTGGTGTCTTCCAGTACTAACAGAATGAGAAAACAATCTAGGAGAATTTTTCCTCTGTTTTTTCCAGCCTTTAAATATTACATCAACGTGATTTCAGTGCTATGTCATGCTTCATTAAGAGAAGAACACTAGGCCAATAGATGCTTACAGTTAGGGAGGAGCACAGTAGGATGCTGGAAACGGCCAGAAGGGATCCTTATAAAATGCTAGTCTTAGGCCGTTATCAACCAAATCGACTTGTCATCAAACATTCTTCTAATCTTTTGTCTGTCCATTGTGTTCCATCTTAGTGCATCAGTCCCCTTTCACAACTGGAAACCATAGGATGGCTATAGCAACCTTAACCTGATACGTTGCTTAAACTATATATTTCATGATATATCAACAGTTTCCTTAAGCATAATAACAGTATATTCAGACAGAGAAGGGCCAAACATACCTCTATAGAGCTGATTCTGCCAGAACACCAGTGAATTCAAAAACTTGAAGTTCTGAAGATTTCCTTTCAAAGAGGGACTCTAATCCTCCCATATTTCTTCTAAAGATAATTTGATTTTAATAGTTATTTTTTTCTCCCCCAAAAAGGAAGCTGTAAGCAGACTTTCTACCTCAAAGCTAAAAGTTTAGCTGCCATGAGCTGTTTTTATAAAGTACTAGAATCATTTTATCGTGGAAAATGTACTTAACAGCATTTATACCCAGAAATGAGCAGGAACTTTTGACTTTTTTAAAAATTATAATTTCTAAAATTCAAGCATGGAAAGATTTTACTCTAAATTTAAGACCCTGTGTCAATCTTCCCCACGTGGCAGATTTCCTCTAATTACATCATCAGTCAGGTGTAGGTTAACCTGGTCGTCTGATGAACCTTCTCTCATTCCCCATTCATTTATTACTGTTTCCCATGGGGAACTTTGTCTGTGGAATGCTCCATTTATGCTGGTCCAAAGTAGCTTGAGTCTCTTGAAGTTTCACAAAATCCTACAAAGATGTACAAAGATTTGGGATAAATCTGTATGCAATTGGATTAATTTATACTGTAAATAAATGGTAGCAGTAAAGGTTTAACACCACTTGTCTTCTCAAAAGTTACTGGACTAATTGTGGGAGTTTGAGGTGGAGAAAACCTGCTGGTTTCATTATATAGTTTAATTTCTCTAGGATACCGAGATACTGACAGTTTAAACATCAATTGGACCAAACTTGGTATTTTGGGTAGGTATACTGTTTTCTTAGAAGTTTTGATATCTGGAACAAATATAAGGAAGAATAGGAAGGATAATAAGATAAAAGTATATTCTTTAAAAAAAATTGCATCCAAGAAAACCCATAAATTATTTGCAACCTGTTTAAGATGCTCTAGCATTTTAAGGCTATAATTACTATCTAAAAATGGAAAAAATGATGCTGTCACTTTCTGTCAGCAGATGATCACCTGTGTTTTAAAGGCACTTTTCTATACGTTTGTTGAAGAGAGGAAATGAAAATAACATAATGTACATTTTGTGACTTACTGCTCTTCAGATCCTATCCGTTTCGAATGAAAATACATTTTAAAATAATTCACATTTAATTTATGAACAAGTTTTCATTTCCTTTGCGTTGGAATTAAATTCTCTTATACTTGCATTTGCATTTCACACAATAACAGTCAAAGTATCAAACACACTAGCAAATGAACATTTCTTCACTATATGACCTGCTCTCTTTCAACAAAAACTTTTTTTTCATGTAAATTTCTGAAGTTTCCAAATTCTATTGCAGTGTAGATTGCTTATTAAAAATTTACCTTGCCTTTCAATTCTTCTCTCAACAAATCTGAATCATCCAGACTAACAGAGTAGCTGTGAGAAAACAAGTTTTTTGAAAAAGACTTCCAGAAAGAAGTAAAATCCTCTAAAATCAGGATTTTTCTGTAGTGTGTTAACAATCCCAGGAAATATCAAAAGGAAAAAAGTATATTCAGTTTAAGTTAAGCTTTGGCCAGTATTCACTTTCTATCATATTTTAATTTGGAAAATTTACTTTTTCCTACCTTTTCTGTCCTGAGCAACTGTTTTCCCCTCTGAACCTGCCTGTAGCTGAAAAGAAGTTATCAGATTATACAGAGACATTCAGGCCCAAGCAACAGAAATGCTTATCCTATGTTTTTCTTCTTTGAAAACGCATACGTTTTGTAGAACAGGAAAAATATTTGTAATGATGAAACTTACTCTAAGGAAATATTTTCTGTTGATTCCAAACTAATATTTAATCATCTTCAAAAGCCATCTAGTACTTAACACATTGTGACTGAACTTTATCCATTCCTTCTACTAACAGTTTCAGGCTTTCAGAAAGAAAATATAGCACATGTTCACAAATTAATTGTGTGGCCATCTCATACTTGTGATGAAGTCAGTGAGTTGATAGGAGAATTTCAGGACAGGATTGCTGGAGAAGGATTGCTGCACAGTTTTTCATTATGGGCAGTAGAAGAAGTTGTTACTTGGAGTGTTATATGCTGCCGGATTGCGTATTGGCATTGGTGGCAGAGGTCAGAAACTTGCTTTCTTGGTCAGAGAGCACAGCAATTGCAGCTGTCTGAAAAAAGTGCTGTGGGTTAGAACACGTAAAAATAGTGGGGTACTGTTTGTCAGGCCAGGTGCAAGAACAGAAAAAATCCATGCTTCGCCAGAAAGAGGAGGAGGATGGATAGAAGAGAAAAAGCACACAGAAAAGAACAAAAACATTCCTTCTGCTAAATACTAAACTATAGTCATTGGAAAGAACACAAGAGGTTATTCCAGCTCCCTTGTTGACTAAATTGTATGTTCTTCCTACAGATAGTTCCTAAAAAAGAACTGTTCTTTGTTTTCCTACGTACAGACACAGTATCAGTTGTTTATGACTATAATCATAGCATGCATAGTTTAAAATGTGGGACTAGGAGATAGTGTGTTTCTCTGTCTGGTTTGTCAGACACTAAAAACCATGTTCCTTATTTATTACAGCTTCTTTTGATTTACTAACAAAATTTCTGTCTTTAAACTAATTTCTTATACATTGCTTCTACTACCCTGATCTGTTTCAAAGACACTGAAGTATATCTTTTCATGCTTTATATTTAGGTCAGATGTATTTTGTCCACTGCCATATTTTTTTTTACATATGGAAAGAATTCTCTCAAAATTTGTGAAGGCAGAGTATCTCAGGGTCTGTCTTGTTGAAACACTTTGTCAAGCTTTGGACAAGTACAGAAACCTGCAGCTTTATAAAGCTCATGGCTGTCAGGATTAGCTGCTGTGGAGAGGATCTCAAACCCTGTTAGTTCCTGGGGTCTCAATTTACTGATTCTGCTAGACTACCCACTACCCTCTAGCTCAAGTGCATGTACAGAAATCCGAGACATGAACACAAAGTTAGTTATAAATTGAAGGCAGTTGAAAGCTTACCTCTCAAGGAATCATTCTGACTCATTTGGCAAAGCTCAGACAGGAGATATGTAATCCAGCATTCATGTCTTCCTTTCCTAATACTTTGATTAATGGCCACTATATATCAATGGCCCCCTACATCAATATACACTAGTGTTTTAACACAGAAGCACACTGAAATAATATATGCAGTGTCTGATTATCAGAGAAAGCTCTACTTAGGTTTAAGTATAGTCATAAACTCTAAAGCATTTTATTGCAGGATTGAAGACTACTTTCTGACTTTATTAATGTCTTGAAAAAAACTCCATGATTTTTATTGTTCTCTGTAAGCAAGCCTTACGACTGCTGACTCCATTTGTAGGATTATGGTCAGGTTACTATTTATTACAGCTCTGGAGTGTGTTGCTTTCTTTTGTGCTCATGTACAAAAGCTCTTGTCAAGTTTTTGGAAAATTGTCAGCTATGCAACTTCGCTTCTGGGTTGTCAGAAAACTGAACGTGTGGCAGAGCTCTTCTTGACAACTGATTATCTAGATATTTGCCAACCACCTCAGCGCTATGCCTCTGTATGGTCTTGCGTTCGTTTGAATGAAGGTGAAAAGAACCAGAGATGTGATTGATTACTTTTGTAGGTTTTTCTTTAAATGCACCTATCTTTGGACACTGTTGATTAGAACATCAGATAACTTAAGAGCTTTCACAAAATGACACCAGAACAGATAACTAATATTGTGTTACTGCAGCTAGGAATATAGTGTTATACTTGCTTTACATAAACCAAGACAGAGATTTTAATAAAAATAGTTCATAGTGGATGAGAAGAGAACTCAGCTCATTCTTTCAAGTAGCTCCTCTTAGGTATACCGGAGAAGAAAAGCTTTAAAGAGTGTAAGTGATATCTCAGCTTAAATAATTTGCCTGGCCCACAGACATAGCTTTGTAGCCTACTTTCTCTTACATGTGTTGTGTGGTAAGTGTAGTCTCTTTTCAGGAATTTCATATTTAGGAACTAGGTCTATCTGTTCATTAGTATACTAAAAATTATTTTTTTTATTTTAATAGACCATTTTTATAACTAGAAAGGCTAAAAATGTTATCACCAGAAAAGTGTCCTGAGCTTCAAGTGGAGTTTTGTTATTGATTTGAAAGGGAGCAAGAGCGAGTCTGAATTAGCTGTGTATCAAACAAGAATGCATAGATAGAATCATAATCATAGAATTGTCTAGGTTGGAAGAGATACAGGAGGGTACAGTGGACTAAGGAAAAAAAGAGCAGAGCATGAAAGGAGTCAGAGTGAGAACACAGCACAGGAGACTCGTGTATTTCTGTGAGGTCTGGTTTCTAGACGTCGGACTGGACAGATCTGAAGACGGTCTGCACCTAAGAAAAGCAACACAGCTTTCAATTATTTCTTGTATGAAGTTCTTTGTACATCATAACAGCAAATTGATGCTCAGTTCCATTATGCATTATGAGCTTCAAAATAAAAAAGTATTATCATGAACTACAGATGGCAAGATCACAAGCTAAACTGTATTTACGCATCAAATGCTTGTGAATTCATGCATGCTTCTGTGACAGCACATCCATGTCCAGTACCAAAGAATTGCATTCCATGTATACTCTTCAAAATCCAGTGATAAGAACAAGGGCTCAGTAGAAAGTGCCAATCACCTGAGTGGATTTCTTAAGAGGAGAAAAAAAATTAAAAATGTAGGTTTGATATGAATTTTGATAAAACCACGTGCTATGTCTTTCCAATATAAATGCAATAATTATGAACATATGTCCACAGTCTTCTTTAAAGCACATCCTTTTAATTTGTTTCCCTTTTCTTTCTTCTCTTGACATTTGTCTTTTTCCCCTCTGTTACTCTAGGATCATAAACAAACATTGGCAAGACAAACAACCGTGATTATCTTCGCATCTTAAAGGCAATAACTTACTGTAAATCCATAGCTCATACTGAACAGGCAGTCTTCACTATAAGCCATATCATTTTACAATAGACAGGATAAACAGAGATAAAAAAGTCTTGAAAAATTAAGTAGTAGTACACATGCAGACATGGGCCAAGTTTTTAATGGCATAAGCACCCCATTACATTAAAACAAGTTTTGGCCACCTGAAACTAAATGGTTTGTACACACGTAAATCCAAGTACAGACTTGGTCACTAGGATTTAGAGAAAAGAAATAGACTGTGAAACAAACAGTGGTGATACTAATATCTAGACTACTTAATTTATTAATTAAAAATTGCAAACGCCAATTTTCTCCAATAGTAATGCCCTAATTAGAGATCTGTATTCAGTGTGTAACATTACTGTAATGAAAATGTTAGTTTCAGGGGCTGCCTTTAACACATTTTGTTAGTTTAAAGCATTGGGCTTTTCTCTAAGTATGACCTTATCTTTGAATTTCCTGCCATCTCAGTACTTACTTTAGGACAATTACTACATCTTTTTTATGCTTACATCTGAGAAATATACTTTCGACTTTTTCTCCACTTAATATGGATTTTCTACCTGGGAATTAAAATAGATACTGTGAGGATTTTGTTGGTGGTAAAAAAAAGATTTCTTATTTGTGAATTCATTCCTTCACAGCACTTACTAACAAGGGATATGGTACTGCTACCATAGATGGAAATAGAAGATTTGTAATTGATTTTGAATATCAATATTAAGGATTTAGATGATATATTTGTAAGCTACACTTAATACATAAATATGTATTTTTCTGGTTTGACTATCAGCATTTTTGTTTTGTTATTTTCTTATACTGTTAGTGAAAAGTTATTTTCAGCTGTTATGTGGGAATATTTATTAGCTTTTATACTTCCATAAATCTCTCCTTATGCTAGTTCTGATATCCAACAAAAGCAGTACCGGTAAAAATTTGTCTTTTTTTTTTTTTTTTTTTTTTGTGACTGCCAAGAAATGTTTGGACTTTGAATCTGGGACTTCACTGGGCAAGTGAAGGTGCAAATTTGTATAGTTAAACAACTACAGTTGTAGCTAGACACCTATCACAGTCTTATTCTCTGAAGTGAATGCATTCAGGGAAATAAATCAGGATTTAAGTGTCATTTTAAAAACCCACCAGTCAGTTTTATAGGTGCTTTTATACCATGATTTAACACTGAATGTGTATTGTTTTCTTTACTATATAAAACACAGTCAATAAAGGCTTCTAAAATACAGTCATCAGGGAATCTATTCAGTTCCCCAAATGAAATCTATTCAGTGGAATAATTTGCACCATACTGAAAAAGAGGAAATAAAATACTGTAAAATTAAAAACCTTCAATTGTTTATAATGTGGATAAAGAAATTCATAAGAAACTATGATACAGGAACTTTGGTCATTTAATTTAGAAAAGCTTTGATTTTTAGTGTATTAGGTGTCCTTCATAATCAGTAGACATGACATACACATATGACATACACTTGGTAAGTGTTTTGCTTTCCAGTAGCTGACAGATATTTGTTACACAAAGCAGTAAGATGAGCTATCTCTGACCAACCTAGTTCAGGTCCTGGGACCAGTACAGACGAGTAAGCTTGCTCCAGGAAGCTAACCCTGCAGGAGAGCGAGACACTCTTAGACGAAATGCCATGATAACTTGTAGATTACAGGTGTCTCTACACAGGACTTCAGCATGACATGTAGGTATTATCATATATGGTAAATTCTAGAAAGAGGCAGGTGTTACTGACAGAGCAGTAAACTGGAGCCTCAATGCAGAAAATTTCTATTTACATGTGTATACCCTAAGAGTAGCAGTATGCTACTGTATGTACAAAAATAGTCAGTTTTGCCATTCAATCAGTAGGTACTCTGAAGTGAACAACAAAATTAATTTTGTCTGCTATTGCTTGATTCTCCAATGAAAAAGCTGCTGTTGCTTTAATTTTCAAGCTTTCCCAATAACATTTAAATTATCAGCCTCAAAAGCCTGTCTACTCTCTGAATTCTTGCCATATTTATAGTCTCTTAACATTCACTGCTATCACAGGGTGCTGCTCCAGCAATGCGAGCGATGAAGGGAATGCTTGCATAGGCTGGCTCTCGGCATTCCTGCTGCCATGGCGTCTCCAGCTCCTGAGACCAAAGCCAGCTGAGATGCATGACAAAACATCTTGTGACCTCTCTGCGCTCAACTTCCCACCGCTATGTGACACTGAAAGAGCGACAGTGGCAGATCTTATGAGAGCTATGCAGTCAAAGTCTGAATGCTCTGTTATCGGGGAATTCAAACCTTGTTAGATGTTTAAAAGTCAAGCTGGGTGGAGCTGGGGTATGACAAACACTCCACCATCCAGGTATTTTGCAAGTGGGTACTTTCTAGATTTCTGTTGTTATGTTATTTTTCAGGGTTTTGTACTACTGAATATTGCTGTTACTGACCAAAAACCTCAACACTGTAAACTTCACTAAAAATGAGTTGTTCTTTGAGGATGGTCTAAGCAAGAATCTTTTACTTGAGCAGTGAACCCCATTTAAAAAAAAAAAAATTTAAAAAAAATCATGTTTTTACAACAGAGCTGCTTATGATGAGAGACAGAAAACTCTCTCTGGCTCATGTGCGCATTTAACTAGAGGGCTGCCTTCTCCCCCTGCCCCCTGTGACCCGGCGGGGTGTCCGTCCTGCTGGTGGCACTTAGTGCTTTTGGGTCCACACGGCTGATGGGGAGCAGCAGGAGCAGAGCAGCTCCACCAAGGGGGACAAGCCAGGAGCCAAGGGCCACCCCCAGCACAGGCTGGTGACCCTCACCAGTGGGACACAGTCCAACCCAGGATCCAAACATCTACCAGCAGGTACGGCAGTGACCCAGGGCCTGTCTGGCTGTCCCAGGCGGGGCAGAGCAGTGGCCCAGCCCAGCCCAGGCCCGGGGCAAAGGCCCAGCCCGGGGGTGACATGGGGCCTGCGGGTAGAGGTGCGGGGGGAGGCCCCTGGGGAGGCTGCTCAGGGCGGTTATGGCCTATTGCTGCACCTGCAGCCCTGACAATCTCACTCCTTGCTAAGCTGAATTAGATATATATATATCTCTATCTCTTATAAAATTGAGAGTGTGAAGTATAACATACCTTTTAATATCCCATTGCTTTCGCTGTTTGTACATTCATATTTGTTACTCCTGGCAGGCTCTTTCAGTTACCTTCATTAGCCTAATTTAATTTAAAGTGGAAATTCTAGTGATCTCACTTTTGTAGTGTCAGGTGTGACAACTAAGGAAAGGTCATAGGCCACATAATAGGTACAACCTGTTGACATTTATTTACTCTTCTTGAATAGCTATTTGTTCCCTGCATCGTTATGATATAAAATAAACTCTTCGCCTTAAATATAAAGGGTGTTTATTCACTTATTTTCATATAAATGACAGCAAGAAATAGCGAATAAAGATAGACACAAATAAGAAATTTTTAATTAAATATTGGATGTGCAATTGAATGTGCAACTTGTTCTGTATGTGATTCTGTTTTGATTCATGTGATGCCCCATATTTAAACCTTGTGTTAAAATGATCTGTAGCTTTTCCTTACTCTTTCCTGATTCTCTCAGCTCCATGTTTATTTCTTTCATTTTCTTAGTGTTTCAAAATGCAGTAGATGTTCATGGGGAGGAAGCAACATCTCTGACTTTGTTTCCAGTTACTGTCTACACCTAGTGTGTCGTATACTGATCTATAGTTTAAGTAAGAAACAATTATTATGGCTGTCTAGTATGACTTACATATAATTTTATTTATACACCTCAATTATAAGAATTGACTATTTCATAATGTCCCTGTTATCTTCAGGGCAGGGCATCAAGGGCTTTTCATCACACACAGTGTGGGAAAAGGATATGCCATTACTGTAGGTGACCATGACTGGATTACTGAGTTTTGCAAATATTGTGTGCATTAGTTTCAGTGAAATTCCCTGTGCAATGGGTACCTTCATACTTTCAATTTTTTTCTCTTGTGAGGCAAAAGGGCCATTTCCAGAGTTGAAGAATTACAAAGTGGAGTTCTTAAAAGGATTAAGAGATCACAAGATCTATAAGAAATGTAAAGGAAGCAGAAGCTTTGTTAAGATACTCCCAAAGTTGTCATGACTTTGCACTCCAAAAACAAACAAAGTCCCAAGTAGAGAAATTAGAAAATTCCTGATAGTTAATGAGTAGAAAATTCAAGTCAATTTGTGATGTAAACTTCCATATGAAGCCATCTGTGAAACTGCCACGCACTGGAACAGATTGCGCAGAGAGGCTGTGCAGTCTCCATTCTTGGAAGTTTTTGTGACATAACTGGGCAAAGACCTGAGCAGCCTGATCTGGTGCCATAGCTGACCCTTCTTGTCCAGCTGACCTCCTCATGAAATCTCCTCGTGTCTTTTCCAACTTGAATCACTCTATGATTCCATATATCTACAAGTTTTGTGACTCAGACAATTTTCTTTATATCAGGAACAAAGCCCACCACCATATTTAACACCGAATGTAACTCTGTATTTCATGTAGATCTATGCTCCCTAACATTTTTCTTTTGGAACAAAATATCAAATTGAATTGACAATTGCCTAATACAGTTACATGCAGAAAATCAGATCACAGTTTTTCTGAAGGGTAGTGTCAAAGCTAAAAAGGAATTGCGATTTCATCAACACAGCTGCTAGCTTTGTAATAACATATTGGAGTAACCTTTTTTTGATGAATGTTCTTACAGCAATGTTCGCCTTCTGCGTCTTTTCTGACATCATGACTCTAAACATGAGCACAATTTAAAAGGCGGTAGTAATTTCTGACAAACTCTTTGTGTTAGCAATCCAACTTATCTCTAGAATTAATGTTGTCTCAAACCTACTATTTCCTGAGGAACCAGATATAACTTTAATTAATTCTGTAATTGTGAGATAGACATTTTAGTCTAAAATCTGTTTTGTCTTGTGCAGCTGAATGTGAATTTAGACTTGAATACATATACAGATGAGTGAAAGCCTTTCTGGATTCCACTAATACAGGAGAGATTAGGGAAAAAAATAATTATCATAAAGTAATAGTATCAAGGATCTAGTAAGGATAGGAAGGATCTATTAATGTTATTTCATATAAAATATTAGTTTACCGAATAAACAAATATGATGAAAGAGACATAATAGCAGCATATAACTATATTATGCTGTTTATGCTATTTATACTATATATATACTATTGCTGTAAATGCTATTTATACTATATTATAGTATTATATAGTATTATAGTATTACATTTATATTTATACTACATTATGCTATATTTATGGTATATATATACTATATATATAATTTAATGTAATCTTGGGCTATGTAGCTGCTGCTTGAACTAAGTTGAATCTGTACAGAGACAAATTTGGACAAAGGCAAAAGGCCTCTTTACAACAATACTCTTTATAATGCAGTAAACCTCTGATTTATGAGAAATAAATCAAGTATTTCAAATATTATTTTTAAACATATGAGGAAATATAGTTTTATTTTTTCTTTCTTTGATAAACTTACTGTCAAACCACTTGAATTATCATCTTTCAATAACTATATTGTGCTACAGGAGGATAAGAAAGAGAGATGTTACCTTCACAATTTAAAGATGTCTTTTCATGACAAGCTTTAATGTATATACAAACAACCTATATTAGTTGACCTAAGACTTTTTTTTATTGCAAAGAAGCAGATGTGAAAGGCAGGCTTTTTTTTGTGCAGCTACTAAACGCAAGAGCCTTACCTAATCCATACACACACACTTCACAAGTTCAGTTACTAGATTAGGCAGTAGAATAAATATGGTATAAATTTTCTGATAGCCTTCCCTTATGACAATAGTCTCAGTGCATTTAATGGAAGTAATAAATAATGAAAAACAAAACATTTAACAGAGCAGTTGATAAAGAGATTGTAGTTGTTAACATTGTTTTAGGTAAGAATTTTCTATTAGATTCTAGCAAATAAAGTTTAGTGATAAAGTTTAAGTAATACTAACATTACATTTTCAATTAGTAGTAGAAAAACAGCTTTCCACAGGAAAGTTAATTTATGTGACTGCTACACAATTCTAAAATATATTTTGTTATTTTAATTTATATTTATATTTTGCTTGTAATTATACCTTTATGGTATGCATTTTATTTGTATGTAGGTTTTGCTTTGATAAATTAATGGTATGCAAGGACATGTTTGTGTTATGCTGGGATCTACTCTAACTCTTGATAAATTATGAAAGCTCCATCCAGTCAGTTATCTTCCATAACTGAAGGTGAACCAGCAAATATCTAATCATTGTTCTAATAACACATGATATGCCTAGCACTTTTTGATTTCTTTTTACTTGCTGTATTCATATGTCATTAACTGAACCTACCTCAGAGGCCTTTTGACTATTTCATGACCAAAGGACAAAACCACCTAATACAGTCAGAGTGAAAAGAGTGAGGGAATGCATTTCAAAAGCCACAGATGAGAAGGTCTCTCAAACATATTAATGCTGAGATAGATACAGAGATGCAGAGATAAGATACAGAGATCTAAACTGACATAATAAATGATAAAATATATACCATATCAATAAACATAGGTCTTAAAATTCATATTAAGCTGTGAAATTGAAAATTCCAGTTCTAACTTTTGAGAGGCTGTGGGGAGGGAGGAAAGTAGTGCTGTATTAAACTTAAATATAAACCATTTACTTGAAGAATGACTATTTATATTGTAAACTCAAGCAAAACCTTTATGCTATTATGAAATATCACAATGAATTTCCACAAAGTGGAAATCTTACTCCAGAGAAGGAATCAAATATTAATTAAAAAAACAGCTCAAATATTCAGTCCCTATCAGGGAAGAGGTTAATTTCATTCCTTTCCTGGGACGCTCCTTCTTAACTCCTGGCAACCTTAACACTTGCACTGCTTGCATCGGTCACTAAGACAATAAAAAGTCTGACTTTTTTTCCTTTGCCCCCTGACTCCCTTATGATACAGAGAAGAACAGTAATTTATCCATCTAAAATGGCTCTTTTCCAATATCTTTTTTTTTTTTTTTGACTGGGTCAGAACAAATTTTCAGAAGGGTCCGGTGACATGATACACTAACAAATGCATTTTGACCAGTTCAGCAAGTGTTGCAGAACACCCAAAATTAATTAATTTTGAACACTACTTTTGCTGAGCAGTAGCCTTCACTGACTCCTTGAACAGCTATGTAGTTTGTCCTTGCTGACTGTAGTCACTGTTAACCTCCTACAGTGCATTTATTTAAATTGGCTGTGCTGAATGACACTGCCCTAACTTCCCGCCACCGATGTCAAAAGAGACTTGTAAGCTCACCTTTCTCTGCAGCAGTTTCTTCATCAGTTTCTTTGTGGAAGTATCTTTATCCCCAGTTGACATCTGTGAGAGCTTTTCATGAGAAGGAGTCAAAGATGGCCTCTGGGGAACTGGAATTGAGGTTGAAGGTCTCACATTAAAAAAGTCATTTACTTCTGGTTTAGTTTTGCTCTTAGGCATTATTCACAGCTTTGCTCTGTCTTCAAACAAAAGGAGCAGTGGCCCCACTAAAAGAAAAAAAATCTCTAGCTATTGAATGTGCTCAGAGTTAGTAAATATTATCTTGGGCTTTCAGGAGTCAATCCACAGTATGTCTTTAAAGCAAGAGAACCTCCGCCTTTCATTGCCATTGGCTTATTGTTGCTATGCTATTTTAATTTCTCTCTTACCAGACAAGATATTTCTAATAATACTTTTTCATGGCATATGGGTTTCTGTGTCACTGGAATAAAATTCTTCTTCCTCAGTTGATTATTGTTGTGATAAGTTGTCTTCTTGTTGGTACTAGATAAAATAATATATGAATGTTTACAATGTAATGCAGAAAAATATTTGTTTTGATACTTTGTAATTCTGGGCTAGACATGTGAAGCTTCAGTATGTATTTCAACATATCTGGTGCTGGCTGCAAAAATGTTCCAGAACAAGTTTGCAAAAATCACATACTCAAGCCTTGATTGATCTCACAGGAATGCCTTATTGTATTGTTTTGGTTATGGGAATGTCAGTGTATTGGCTTTATCATCTTCACATTAGGGGATTTTTTCTCCTGGGTGTTTTCATGTCTTATTTTCAGGTCTTTTTACTGCTCAAGTAACATAAAACTGAATTTATGTAAGTAGGGCTTACTTGGCAAATAAGTAGGACAGGGTATATTCCTCATTCACAAAATTGTCTGATAAGAAAGGTAAATTTATATCTAAAGAAGGAGCACACAATACTTACTGATTTCAAAGGAAATTGTTTCATCTCATTCTAAAGTAAATTTGACCCTGTCAAGAGCTGTCAAGAGAGTCAAGAGTTAGAGTGAACATAGCTTACACACTGTGACGTTTTTGTCATTGTTTTTCAATTTCAATTAAACAAAGAACGGTTACATATTTTAAATGAACAAATTTAGCAATTTAGTAACACTGATTCAGGATATAATAGTCTTAACAACTTAATAGTCTTAACAACTTTATTTCAGTAGACATTTCTATCTGTGCTGTTTTCAGCTTCTTTCTTTTACAGTGTGTATAAACATGTGCAGTTTTGAATGACTGAATAACTCGGACACCTATAGATTAATGTTTGCTAGTTGTTGTCTATGCAGTCATTACCAGTATTACAGCTACTGGCCTAAAAGTTCCATGCTATTTCCTGGGGAATAATCGGGAAGTGTCTGTGGAGCAGCAGTACAGTGAGATGTCTTAGCGATGACCAAGGAAGCTGGAAGGGCAACACAGTTGAGGGACAAGTGAAGGTAGCAACTTGGATCAAAATAAGTATAGCTGAATCAATAGGTGCCAACATGGGGGGTGTCTCACACACTGCCCTGTGTGGACATAACCAAGTGATTTTATTTGTAATTTTAGATATTGCTAATGAATTCCTCTAAAATGTTCCCCTTACACAGTTACATATGTGGCTAACTTTATATTCAAGCATATTTCACTGACTACAGTTACAATATTTCCTATACAAACTTAAATGTTCATGTGCTTGCAGAGTCAGTGTTTAAATGTCTGTTCAATTTAAGATAAAAAAAGCAAAACCAACCAAAAACATTTTATCAAACTAACTCTGCCACATTGAAGGCTTCTGCTTTATAATGTCTTAGTTTGTACCTCTGCGTTTGGGTTTCTCAGGTGAAATTTAACTGTAAAAATAGAGCACCTTGTTTCTGGGAAAAGGAAAATAAAAGAAAACAAAACCTAACAAGTAATATTATTTCTCATATTTTCTTAAGACTTTATTTCATATTTTCAAAAGCATCAGCCTAGGCTTTGTTTATTCAGAGGGTTAGCCAAACTGTCACAAGCATCTTTCTGTTGTGCTTGTGAGGAGAGGGTATTTTGAAGAAAGAAATCTAAAAGAGATTTTAATGGCAAAGAAAGATTTTCACAAATATCTTTCCCTTTTACTCCTCCAGTAAAGCAAAGAACTCTCAAATTACAGCTTCTGCTATTATTTTCAGAAGTTTCAATATTATAGGATAACCTGGTATTAGAGTATCTTTTGTTAGAGCACCAGAAAAATCTTCTAAAAACTTTATCCTCTGTTTGAGTTCCTTATCATTGCTGCAGTTTTAGTATCGCTGTAAAGTACTACAATTTTTCCTCCTAAATGGCTCACAGAGCCAAACTTTTATTCTGTTTCTTCCTCCGGTAATCCTGTAGGGTCACGTGTTTTTTAATGAACACGGCCAACGATCACGTCAGCTCCAGAAGGATTTTGTGGGCTAGTTTTGTACATTTTATAAATAGGCTTGTGGTTACCCAATAGTTAATGTCTAGCATAAATATGGACTGCTTCCAAAAAGGGAAGTTCTTTACCACCTCCTGCCCTCTGTCCCAGACACCAGCTATTCATTCCAACCACATTCCCAGTGCCAACTCATGGGGCATGCGGGGAGTCAGATCAAAGCAATGGCTGGGATTATAATTCAACAGTTCCCTTGGTTTAGATTGCATGTACTAGGAAGCTGCATGTACTACGTTGATGGGGAATATCAGTATTTGTTCCTTGTGTTTATCTTCTGTTTTCAAGTACTAATAGGCTATATTTCTATAAAGATTCTTTAGCATAAAGTCTCCAGGTTCTTTAGCTCAATACAGGAAGAAATTGAAGTCATTTGAGTTGGATAGCTATATTCACAAGAGGTACATTTACAGGCACTTCCATACTAGATTAGGAGCTTCCTCTGTAGAGGGGAATAATCCTTTGTTTCCCCAGAGAAAAAAAAAAACCAACCAAATTCTGTAATTTGGAATGAAATTGTTTGAAAAGATTAGTTATCCTAGTAATAATCTCTTATATGAGCAGTCATAAACATAATAGCTAATGAAAATGAGTTTTTAAAGAGTGTTTTCCAAACATTTATCTACAAGCTTAAGTTGAAGACATGGTGTCTGTTCATTTGAAGAAAGCCAGGATGCTGTCAGATATTTTTTTTTTTTTTTTTTTTTTGTTCTGTTGGTACAGTGAATAATTGCTTAACTACAATCCCTGACTTCTGACTTTTAAAAAGGAAATGTTGTTTTGGAGAACAATTCAGTACATTTAAAGTGCTACTTTCAAAAATATGCTATAATCTTGATGAGTTTAGTATTTACTTTTAATAGGGATTTTTGTGCTGATTAGCAAATAAATGATGTTAGGCTGGATCTGACACAGCTACAATAGTAATTACTAAAGAAGTGAAAAAAAATCATTTTTTACTCAATAAATAAATGAAAAAAAAATTAAGAAAAAGTATTTGGGAATGAATTATGTACTGGTTTAATCAGGTCAACAGGTTTCATTTCGACGAACAAAAACAAAGTCATGGAAGCTATGGACTTTTCCTAAGCATCTTTGCCAGACTCGAGGCACAAGGAATCGGTATTGTTACCAAACTGTTTTCCAGCAGTTGCTGCTCATTATGGCATGGAAACTTGGGCTCAGTTCTCTCCTTTATTTTGAGCCAGTGTATTACAAGGAAAAGAAAGGTGATCTGAGCTTCACAAACCAATAATCTCGGGCACTAGAGCATGCCCTGAAGAGCCATGTCTACACGATTCTTAAATACCTCCAGGGACAGTGACTCCACCACCTCCCTGGGCAGGCTGTTCCAGTGCCTGACCACCCCCTCAGTAAAGTAATTCTTCCTAATATCTAATCTAAACCTCCCCTGCTGCAACTGCAGACCATTTCCTCTAGTCCTGTCATGATTCACTTGGGAGAAGAGGCAAATGATGAGTGATGAGTGAAAGGATAAAATTCTAAATAGGATGCATTAGACCGAAATTTGGGAAATACTCCCTGATGTTCTGATATTTCAGTTTGCAGAAAAATCTCTCAAAGGAACAGTCACATAGGACTTCCAAACTAGAGGAGATAAACTTTGAAAAACATAGTAGAGAACCAGTTATTCCACTGAGAAGATACAAACAAGTAAACAACCCCTTCTCTGTCCTTACTTCTGTTATACTGTTTATATATAGAATTGCTTATTTACACTCTAAAAGGGGAAGTTTTCCCCTTTAACAAGCCAATATGATCTTTAAATAATCTATTGTTATTAAATAAACAGTTTTAACAGGGAACATAGCAAAAGATATGTTCTAAAGAAAAGTTTAAATGTTTGTATTAGGGCTGTTTATGGTACCCAGAAAATCAAGAAGGGAGCATGTTTGAAGCCTGTGCCTGTGAAAGGAGCAGGATGTATTTTTAGTAGTGCTTCGTAGTATAGTGTCTAATCAAAACTCAAGAACGTTACGCATCATTATAGAGGATCATAGAACATGATACCATGTTTCAAATATTTGGTCACAGGCATCTCCATCAAAAAGTTGGCTCCAGAAAATGATATGTACAGCAATTGGGTTGAGGTGGTAGTTTTATTAGTAATTTTAACTGTTTATCACGAAAAGCAAAAAAATGAAAAAAAATAATATGTTCATAAAATTACGACCTCATGGAAGAGCAAACAGGAGAAAATACTCTATGTTATTGTCACAGTCATTGCATTTATTCCTCAAAATGATACTATTACTTTTAACAAATAAATAAAGCACCATAAATTAAATTAAACTAATGGAAGGCCACAAATTCTCCATGATATTGTCTTCTGTGCCTTGAAAATCAAGTTGCTGTAGAAATCATAGCATAAAATTGATACTGCTACAATGAACAGGTTCTTAGTTTATGTTTTGTTCTGTAAAGTAGCCACTTAATTAACAAAAACTAGCTACTGCCAGCAACTATTATCCTCTCTGATACCTCTTGTTTTATATTCCTTAAGATTTTATTTCTTTCTTCTTTAAAAGCATATGGATTTTATGTTTAATTAAATTTATTTTTGGCTCCAAGGGATCAGCAAGGTGAAAAAATATCCTAAATGTGTTAGAGAATGGTTGTAGAAGGTAGTGTTTATACACCTTTTATGTTAGATTTTGATAAAATGTCTCTGTTGATTGATGGTGTAAAATAATTTCCCTTAACATTGTAGGCTGTTAGCAACAGTTTGTTTTTATACTACCAAGGAATTTATTCTAACTTCATGCAGCTTGGAACAAAATCACAATTTTCATTTTGATCTTCTTCA